GGGGGGGGGGGGGTGACGCTATTTGCTCGATCTATTGATAATATTTCATACAATATAGGATATTACCGGTCGGTAACTCATCACAATTACTTCCAAAGGACGCCGTGCTCTCTGTTCGGGGATCCATCCGTGATCATTGTGTTCCTGTTCACCTGTATGCAATAGAATGAGATATAACCATCTTCACAGTACTGGCATTGAATGTCAGAACTTTGATTGCCTGTATTGCTATAAGTACGATCAATATCGAAATAATAGTACTTCTACTTTATACCAGACCTCTCTTTGATCCAAGTTGTTCATCCATAAATGCTATTCTATAATAAATGTTATGTTCGAAATTCACTATCAGTACACGAGCATGGTTGTGTCTCATTCGACTGAATACAGATAAGCAAAGAAATAATAATACTTGTAGTACTATTCAAAAAAGATTAATCAATCGCAAGTGAAGTTTAAAAAGAATAACCCAACGTGATTAGTTGATCCTTTCTAAACTTGTATTTATATCATGTAATGTATCTATTAGGCCTGTTTATGCAAGCGCGTTTATGTACTCCAAAGCGCAATAGATGTGTTCGAAAATCAGACGAATACAAATTATAATTTTTTTTTAACATTTCATCTCGATTACCAGTTTTGGTTACGGTGCTCTATTGCAATCATTTTTGTTACCGATTACGATTGCGGTTATACCGATTCAAGAATTTCGGTTTTCGATTCGGATTTCGGTGACGGTTGCGGTCCACGATGTATTTATTAAGGGACTTGTGTCTAATCAGGACAACTTTCAGTGTCATGTAGCGGTAAAATCCTGTACGACCATGGATTGGACGCTGTATTACCCGTTGCGTCTGCACGTTCCGGATGGGAGATTTTAACGATTCGTGGGGCAAATGAAAAACAGAACCATGAAGAATAAGAAGATGTTCGCCCCAGTCGAAATTTTCAGCTTACTATGATACTTCGCAACCCACATTCATTTGATTTATACCTTAAGTCTGCTACATTTTTCCCATAAAATTGACCATTTTAGCCTATTTCACAATCCAACCCTAGGTTCACAGACACTGCTGATGACAAGCATAAGCTCCTCTTAAATTCATCCTTGCTCCAATTCTTTTAGGGACAGCCAGTTAGCCAATGTCCTTGAATATCATCCTTCGGCACTCGCACATCTTGACCGAGGAACTTGTCGCATGTATCTTATTAATCTGTTCACGAAAAATGCTATTTATGCTTGTATAGACTCTATTTCACTCTCTTAATTACAGGGAAGCTTTCGTAGAACCAGCAGCGCCAACTGGGAGCGGAAAGCTATTGATGCAGATCGACTCAATGATGTTTGACAGTATTATTTAAGTTGTCTACGTTACAAATCCTTAATACAGATGTCTCCATATCTTATCGGTAATGCTCCTGTAGTCATCATAATTCGCGGAAGAGTATGTCGAACAAAAAAGGTCGGTTGATCTCGTGAACTGAAGGTTAAATTGACAACAGAACTCAGAAATTCAAAAACATTTAACGAGACAAACATTTGCGTATACGTCCTTATTCTTCAGATTCGACATGTGCTCGTTCCTTTCGTTTATAAGACTTGCAAGTAAACGCACGTACAAATTCGATAAATTTAAAAGTGAATATATTGATTATACAAGAACTTCAATATACGGACAGCGTCGAATGGAAAAACTTATTCGAAGAATAAATTTCGCGTAAGTCTCTTGAAATGGTCTTATATTGATTAATTTTATATTCGTTTGGTTTATATTGTAACGTGACAAATCG